AGAGTTGTCCTAGGCCGAAAGCATCAAGGTCGCTTGGAAACTTGCTAGAAATGCAAATTCTCAGGCCTCACTCTAAAGCTACTGGATCAAAAACTCTGGGCTGGGGCCCCAAGAGCTGCATTTTAACAAGCCCTGCAGGGGGATTTGATGCACATTCCAGCTTGGAAACCACTGTGCTAGGCCATTCCAGTGGCCCCTGTAACCAGTCTGTCCTGGCTTTCAATTTTGGCTCTGTCCATGCCCCTTAGCAGATGACCTTGGGCAAGCTACACACCCATCCTGAGACTTAGTTTTCTAGTCCCTAAAGAAGAGATACAAATGGAATTCACCTCATAAGGTTATGTGAGTTAAATGCAGAAGTGCAAGGGGGTGGTGCTTAGCACAGTGCCTGGCACTTAGGGCTCAAAACATGTTTTTATTACTATAATACTATGACCTTTCCTTTCACTATCACACTTCTACATATATTATTTATCTCCTTCATTGTTCAGTGCTCACTTCAACAACACATACTAAAATATCATCCTCACTGCGCAGATAAGGACATTAAGGCTCAAAGAGGTCACGAGAGCTGCCCACGGCCACTGTGAGGGACCCAGGCAGGATTTGAACCCACCATGTCAGGTTCCAAGTTTACGGGCTATGCTCTATATTGCAGGTCTGTGGCGGGATCTTCAGAAAATCTAAACCCAACTCAAACCTACGGCACTTTGCCAGTATGCCCAGCCCAAATCCACACCTCCACCCTGGCCAAACAAGCCATCCCTGCCAGAGAAGTAAAACTCACGTGGAACAATTACAGAAAAGACAAGAGGTGGTGGGGGTCACAGCATTGCCCAGAGCACACAGTGTGACTGTTGTCACTCTGAAGTCTACATCTTCTCCCTGGATCCGCAGACCACAGCCCCAGCATCGCGTGTTCTCGTGAGCACAGGGCATGCACAGAGATCACGCCTTTCTTCTTTAAGCATTCCCAAGCCACCTGCTTTGTAATCTGTTCTCAAATTCTTCTGAGTATCAGCCCATCATTTCCAATATCCATTTGGAAAAACTTGAGGCATTTGTCCGCTCCCAAATTTTCAACCCTTCTCCTGTTCCCTGGGGCTTCCCCAAGATGAATAATAATGAATCTATGGTCCTATTTCCAAGTATCTTTGGCTCTAGGGATGTCTTTCTGGGAGAGCAGCGGTAGGAAGAGAGAGGTAAACGAAATGATCGTTAGAAGTTACTGTGGGCTCACGGGAAGGAGACCATGTCTGACTCAGGTAAATTCAGGGTAAAATACCAAAACCAGCACAGTCCTTCCCAGCTGTCCTCCATACAAGTTCTCTGACACAGCACATTTCTTCATCGTGGGCAGCCGAAACCCGCTCTACTTTTGTCCATTTGTTGAGTGCCTTTGTGTGAGCAAAAATCCTCCACTTCCCTGGGGAGGGAGGGTTAGAGACCCACAGCACGTCCTCCATCCTCTGTAGGCTCAGGACGCTGCCAGCACCTCCACTGGGATTCATGACTGGTTTGATAGCCAGAGCTGGCATCTTTCTTGTCTCCCCATTGATGTAACTCTGACCTTCACCTTGTCCTGTGGGGAGACCCAGGACATTGCAGAGCACACCCCAAGATGATAAACGTCATCCTCACCCCATTCACTGAGAGATCCAGCCTTCCTGGTGACATTTATGGGGCTAACTTGGACCCCAAGAACCCATGAACAGATGAAAACACCAGATGGAGTCCCAAAGAGAAGTGTCCATGTTCTCTCCTCTGCCTCTCTCGGAAATGGCCGGAGCCACTTACTCTGGAGTGTCGATAGCCACAGCCACAGAGGGAGGTATCATCCCACACTGTAGCAGATCCAGTTCAGAATAAAGTTTGCTCCTTTCAACTGGACCTGGTGGTTCCCTTACCTATTCCCAGGAGGATCTGCAAGCTAGTCTGTGGCTTGACAAGGCCCCACAGCCCAAGGTCTCCAGGGGGGATTCTAAAACCTGTAATGTGTCCAGGAAAGAGGACTCAGGTTTCTCCTGGAGAAACAAGGGTGGCCCAGGAGGCCAGGGTTCTAGTTGCAGCCCTGTCACCAGCCTGACAGGTGCCACTGAGCACTCAGTTACCCTACTATGCCTCTTTTTTTTTTTTGAAGTGAATTTCATGTAATACAAAACTAACCACTTTAAAGTGAACGATTCAGTGGCATTTAGCACCTTCACACCTTCACAATGTTGTGCAACCACCATCTCTAGTTCCAAAACATGTTCATCACCCCAAAACAATACCCCACACCCATTAAGCAGTTCCTACCCCATTCAGGTAGCCCCTGGCAACCACTAATCTACCTCTGTCTCTGTGGATTTAGCTGTTCTGGTTATTTCATATAAGTGGAATCCTACAATATTTGCCCTTTTAGCTCCAGATTATGTCCCTAGCATAATGCTTCTGATGTTTATCCAGGCTGCAGTATGTACTGGTCATTCATTCCTTTTTATGGCTGAACACCACCATATGAATACAGCAGTTTGCTGATCCATTCGTCTGCTGATAGACACCTGCACTGTGTCCACCTTTTGGGGACTGTGAACAGTGCTGCTGTGAACATACGTGTACAAGGATTTGTTTGAGTCCCTGTTTTCAGTTACATATCTCTGTGCCTCGTTTCTTTTTTATCTCCCCACTGCATGTAGTCAGGGTGTCTAGAGTCAGTGACAAGGTAGGCCTCTTTACCTTCTTACCTAAACTAATCCCACAGACCCCACTTTCTACCCCAGGGCTGCCTCTCTGCCAGGCCACACCTGCCATACCCTTTGAGGCAGAGCTTTGGGGAACAACAGGTTTCACCTGCCCTTTAGCCATGCTATTACCAGAGCCTATGTGCACCTATCAGGGTATCTTGGGGGCTCTGCCAGCTGTTCCCTGAGCAAGCAGCTCCCAGTCTAACCCAGACAGAAAAGTTCATTTTGATTCATCAAAGCATTGATTCATTCTCACCCAGGATAGGGGGGGGTCTCTCTGAATTCAGGGGGAGATGCTTGTACAGCAGACAGCTACTTTTGGTGTGGTCCAGAAAGAATGAGCCTTCCAACAATTCCCCACAGCTGCACAATTCCCCTGCCCCCTGTAATCGCCTTTCTATGCAATGAACTTGACCCCTTGCCCACTTACTTGACACAGTCCCTAGTGCTTTATCCACATGCCCTCTGAGCACCTTCTGAGGAAGGGACTTCCCCAAGGTCAGCCAGCTGGAAGGTGGTGAAGCTGAGATTCGAACCCAGCACTGTTTCATTCCCAGACCTGCACTCAGAATCTCTGAAAACCTGTCTGCATTCATGATCACCCCAACGTCCCCCTGGGAAGGATGCATCACCCCACAGCCAGTTGGACAATGAGCCTGCTCCTTCTTGGGGCCACTCTGGGGTCTGATCATCTGCCTGGGCGTGCACAGCAGCTATTAACCTCCGCCTCAGTACAGGAGGGACATCTTTGCTTCAAGATCATTGCCATGGGAGACCAGACTTCAATGTTCTCCAGTCTTATCCGTCCTGCCATCGTGACTGCCTCATGTGTGAAGGCCAGCAGCTCTGCTTAATCAGGCATGGACCGGAGCGTTAACCTGGATTATCCCACATGCCCACCCTGAGACAAGGCCTCAAGTGCAAGTCACTTATTTGGGAGGTGATGCAAGGCAGCATTGACAAGGAGTGGGGTAGTGAGACAAGGAAAAGAAGAAAACCGGAAAAGGGGCACATGACTCTTAGTCTGCTGGGGCTGTCGCAACAAAGTATCACCGATCAAGTATTTGTTTCCTCACTGTTCTGGGGGCTGCAAGTACAGGATCAAGGTACCAGCAGTGCTGGCTTCTCCTGAGGCCTGTCTCCTTGGCTTGAAGATGGCCACATCCCCATTGTGGCCTCCCGTGGTCTTGCCACTGTGCGCATGCACTCCCCCCCCCACCACCACTTCTTAGAAGGACAGCAGTCCTATTGGGTTAGGGCTCCACTCTTACAACCTCTTCCAATTGTCACAACCTCTATCAAGGCCCTCTTTCCAAGTACAGTCACACTGGGGGCTGGGGTTGCAACAAATGAATTAGGGGTTGTTCAGTCCATAACAATGAGCAGGTTGTTGTGGGTAACAGGGACTCAGTCCTATTGAGATCCTCTGGGAGACTGTGAGACACACCTGAGTCATCCTACCTGAGTTCCAGGAAGCCAGGGTACTGACCCACCAACTCTCATTTGTCATGGTTGAAGGATGCTCTTTGCACATCTACCCCTCACCATCTTCAGGCTGCCCCCAGCACAGACCCAACACACG